TTTTACATACCCGGTGAATCTTCCAACATGTATACTGATAGAAACAGTTTTATCACACACTTGGTGTATGTTACTGTTGTGATTCAGCCACTTGTATTACATACCTGGTGAATCTTACTGTAGTGATAAAGCCGGTTCTACCATATAGCTAGTGAACCATAGTACAGTTTTTGGGCTATGCTATACAAGGTTCTGTTTTGCACACAACTTTTTCACCATTATTCTACTGTAAGTTGATATCATTACTCTGTAATGAGTGGGGTTTTTTGCCATTGTACAATTGTATGATTTTTGCCAGTCCTTCCATGTTCTTAATATACATGTGTGCCCTGCCCTGCACACTGGTGGATATATACATCGGCACAAAGGCTTATAATCTGTGTCTTCATATGAAGATGTGTGGTAGTGAACATTTTATATCTATGAACTTACATCAGTGCATTTGAACTTTCTGGTATGATAATTACATAAGTATACAGGAATTTTAATGTAGGAATTTAAGAAATTTCACTAAAGTTTAATAAGTGGGAGTCCATTTTGGGTTCAATATTGACTTGGCAAATATGTAAGTAGTTTCTCTTGTAACTTTTTTATTTATTAATACATATATGAATATACTTCAAAGTGTCTCCAAATATATTAACTTGATGTTGATATTCAGAAGATAAGGTCATGGTCCTTTGGTATGTAAGATGTTTAGAGTTATGTCCCCTAGACCAATATGAAAGGGTATAGCATTTCACCAAGAGTCAATATTTACTCTTTCAACACATATCTAAAGTCAATATTTGCGTATGAGATTGAAAATTCAAGAATGGAAAATTTTCTTAAATCATGCCATAAGCATGAATCCCTGAATTTTGTAGTAGAGTAAAAATTTGTCATTCAATGATCAGCCATCGATTTAAAGGTACATTCTAAAGTAGTAGTAGTATTTAAGATTGCCTGAAATCTGTATAGATGTCAGTTTCCTGACACATAGAAAACCAATATATATATATGCTGTAGAATCAATAAATGAACAGCGTATGGCATTACACTTTTACTACCCTACAGGCAGAGACACTGGTAACTCGATAGTAGTCTGGGAATATAACAATGTTGTTGATGGCCTGTTAGTGGAGGTGCTGGTACAGATGTAACACAACTATACAAGGAATGTTTATATACAATAATGTTGGGGCAGGACATGTCAGTACAATATTGTGAACTTGTAAGATTGTATTCCTATATATTGGAATCCAAAACTTTGATATATATATAAAAAAAAAATATATATATAGTATCCTTTTAGTGTATATCTATATTCCCTTTTCCAGATGACAATACTGAAGATGCTTCCAACCTAAGTGTAGACAGTAAAGGTCACCAACAGTATGTCACCAACACATTGAACAACTCACACCGAATGGAGCCTGCTCAGGGTGAGGCGAGTCATGATACAAGTGTCCTGGACCCCAGGGATGTCCCTCCCTCAAAGTCCCATGATCCTGGAGGTGGGGGCCCAACAGCTGATGAGAGTCGTGATAAGGGAGATAACCCCATCCCCAGGCCACCATCAGATAGCTCAGCAGGTCCTGCTATGTCTTTTACTGTTGACTTTGATGAAGACATTAGAACAATGAATTCTGCAGGAAAACTCAGTGACTTTGTGCCATCTAAAATGAGGAAAAGTTTCAGGGAGAGAAAAGAGAAAGCTATAGCTAAAGCTAAAGAGGCTAATTCACCTGAAAAGTTGGCATCTAGTTCTGTTGCCAAAGATATCTCACCTGCAGCCAAGGGAGGTAAATCTGTCTCTAAAGCAGGAACACCAGAGAAAGAAGATCTACCAGAGGTAAACATTCTTCTCAGGTCTACTTTTTAAACTGATAAACAGAGAAACTGAATTGTGATAGTGATCTGCTGTTTGCAAACTTTGGAAGACAGTTAAGATATCATTGTACTGATGAAACACATGAAAATATATACCAATATATAGCTTTTATTTAGAATTCCAAACTTGAATTATCTTTCAGAAAATAGAAGCCGAAGAAATCGCAACTAAAAGGCAAAAGAAGGCAGAAGCCGAGATGACACCACCAAGACTACGGAAGAAAGTAGAAAACGAAGAGATGACTCCTCGAAGACAGAAGAAAATTGATGAAATATGGGAGTCAGACTCATCATCATCTACTAAAGGCAGAAGGTCAACAGAGATGAAGAGGTCAAGCAGATCATCTCAAGAAAGTGACAATGTTTCAGTTCCAACAAGGTTGACAAGGTCAATGGATACAGATAAGGTCACCACAAGGTCGTCAAGGTCAATGGACACAGATAAAGTCACCACAAGGTCGTCAAGGTCAGTGGACACAGACAAAGTCACAACAAGGTCATCAAGGTCAGTAGACACAGATAAAGTCACAACAAGGTCGTCAAGGTCAATGAACACAGAAAAAGTCTCCACAAGGTCCACTAGGTCGATGGACGTGGATAAGGTTACCACAAGGTCACCAAGGTCAATGGACATGGACAAGGTCAACACAAGATCCACAAGGTCACAGGATACAGAGAAGGTCACTGCAGTGTCAGCCAGAGGTACTTAGAGCAGTTCATCGTTTACTTTGTTGTATAACTTAATGTTCAATGAAAATGCATTTCTAAAGAATTTACTTTTTCTTAATGAATTTACATGATTTACTTTTATGTTCAATGAAAATCCACTTCTAAAGAATTTTTTCTATGCATATTTGGTTTTCTACCTGTTAAATGTATCAATCAAAATACAAACATTATATATGTCAGTCCAAAAACTGTGATATAAATATGTCAACATATTTGGTCATTGTAGGTACCAAAACATATGTCAAAAGGAAGGTAACAACAGACCCAAAAAAATCCCAGAAATCTGCCCAGCCTAAAGAAGAGGACCAGACAGCTGCTGCAGCAGTGCTCAAAATGACGGAAAGTGCCTCATATCTCATAGACAAAATGTTTGAAAGCAGTCCCTCTAAACCAGGGACAAAAACAAAATCTAAAACCATGGCAGACAGATTCACAGAACATGCCATGTATCGTGAGGCTAAAGAATATGACAATGGGAAATTCAAACTTACCCTTGATACTGACAACTCAGCCCCACTCCTCGACTTGCTGACTCCCACCAAGGAAGGGAGTGAGGAAGAGTTGAAGGAGGTGGATGAGGCTGTGGATAATGTCAGTGAGGCTGGGACATACACCATCGATTGTGATGATGATGATGAGGAGGAACAGCAGGCACGACATAGTATAGACGCAGTATTCGGGGTAGCCAGCGATGCTGACATGATGTCGCAAAGTCTTGTCATCAATGATGAAGGCAAGAAACGTCTGGATGAGCTCAGAATTGATGAGCCTCTGGAGGACAAGTTTGCTAAAGGGGAGATAACTTTGGCAGACCTGGAGAAGGAGATTGGGCGGCTAGAGAGGAGGAAGACAGAAGTGTCCGTATCCAGTAGTGTAGAGGGAGAAGGAGGCAGCTCTGCCTTGCAGGAACTCAGAATCATTGAGGATCATGTAAGTCAATCCTTGGATACTTTCTGTAGAATATAGTATTCAACCTCACATCAATATTTTTACTGCAATGTTATTAATTTGAGGTTAAATTATTTTTAGCTATGTGGTTAGATTTTAATGGTGAAGAATTTATGTTTTAAATTTTGGATCTATTGTTTTTTCTCAAATTCAAGATTCCCAATATAATATTTTCAGGAGCATAAAATCCCCAACAGAAGTTATTACAGTTTACTTGTTTACATATGTTAGTAGATCAAAACGCTACATCTTTTATAAGCACAGATGTGTTTAGTGCTGACCCCTGTATATGTATGATATGGGCCGGTGCAGTAGTACCCCAGTGAGGTTAGACACTTAGGTACACGGCTGGAATGTAAACAGTGTGTAATCCTACATCAGCAACCCCTATCTTCACCACCTGCTGTTGGTATGGAATCGTAACCCATTATACCTGCTGGTGCTGAACCATTTTATCTAATAGCACTGGTATGCTGGCTAATAGTAGTGGTTTAGGAGAGAGATTTACAGTCTTTACTAGGTAAGGTAGAGTTATCTCCCTTTGGTTTAAGTTTCACTCAAATTGTAAAAAAAGCTCAACTGATGAAAAGGATTCAGAATCTAGTAATATGTATTACATCATGCTGGTGCAGGATTACACGGTATTTCAATGAAACACTGCTTCGCGTTGATAAAATGGTGTTCTAATTGAAAAAGATAAATTGGAGGTTGTTCAACGAAACAAGTCTGCACTCATTAAACAGTATGAAGTAAACCATGTTCATAGAGAATGTGACATCGGAGTGAGTATATATAGAGAGACTGGTCAAACTGATCACATGAGGTGTAGACCTCAGGTGTATTTTGTTTAAATAGTCTATTAGCATGTTTTAAAGTTGAGAGTTAAACATTCCATGGTTTCTAGGGGGTATTATATATACCTGTTATTTCTGTACACTGTGGCTATATACCCGTATTTCCTACCTGTGTTGTGTGTTTAAGCCTATATAATATTGACTCTGACTATCAAGGACTGGACACGCCATCTAAAGCAGGTGTTCATGTGATACAGCAATATTTTTGTCAACGCTTTCATATTAAGTTACATGTTTACAGCATTTACACAATGTAGATAATTACTCCTACTTGTATTTCAAGGTCTTTTAAACCTGTTATACCCAGGCAGGTATCTGAATGTTAGGTTTATAGGGTGGTGTCATTTCTGAAAAATAATTCTAAAACCTAGTATTTTGTCATGTTTTTGACGTCAGATCTTTTTGTTAGAGTTGAAATTCCATTTGTCCATTCCACAGTTGGAGAATTCATACAGTAAATGCACTGCTGAGTGTGCAGCCTTTCATCTTTTGAAAATGAATACAATCTATTACATGTGTCATATACTTTTGGAATATCCTGTAAGATATAAGAAAAACAGCAACTAAAACTTTCCACCCCAGCATATATAACAACCATAAAATTACTACTTCGGACGTGTTGGGTTTCACATCCTCATGGTGTACAGTCCTAGTTAGCATAATAAGATCACCACAAGCCCTATAGAGTATAGTAGAGAAGGTCCATATCACCAGCTGGGAATCAGTCCCTAGGGGAGAATGGCTTGGTTTAGATATGTACTTACAAGATGTAACTGTAAGTGGGACAGCTTTATTAGTGACTCACTAAGGAAAATGTCCTATACCAGGTATTCATCCAGAAACTATGGTCAAGTAGTGACCTTAAGTAATGAGGTGAAAGATTAGGTAATAGCAGTCAAGGGATCATGATCACCTTTGGTCGTTCAAGCTGACCAGTGGTTCAGTGCAGATCATTCGGTCATTCATGGGTGAACAGTTGACAGACTATTGCCCTCAGGATGGACAGAGAACAAAGTTACTTATATTCACACCATAAAGTTACCTGAAAAATGACCAGTACAGGGTCAGTCATGCCGACATCACACAATATCACCTACTGGTACTGACCATTAAATTGTCCACTCATAACTTCTGGAGCGCTGGACACTTTGTCCACTCTATGTCCACTCATTTGGACTTTTGAATACTTTTGTCCATAGACCATTTTACTGATACAAGTTTAGATAAGTCAAGTGTTATGTATTAC